CGCTGAGATAACCATCCCCAAGCCAACCACGCCCACGCCAACCGTCGCTGAGACACCCATCCTGGAAACACCCATCCCCGATGCAACCGTCCTGGAAACACCCACTGCTGAAACAACGGTCTCCATGCTATCCGTCCGCATGAAAACCGGACCTGAAACAACCCCCCCCACGCAAATAGACCCTGCAACGCTGGAAAAAATGAAATATATTAATTTGTTTTGATTTGACTTTTTAAAGCTCTGCACACTCCTAGTGACTTTAAATCCTCTTGAGAAATCAATACAAATGTGGCAAGGAAACATAAGAACATACACCGACCAAAGCAATCTTGATGGAGATACTGATTGAACCAACACAACCATCCCCATGCCAGCTGTCACCGAGACAACCATCCCGACACCAACCGTATCTACGCCAACTGTCGCTGAAACAACCATCCCCCAGGCCAACCGTCCCGCAGACCAACCGTCCCCATGCCAACAGTTGCTGAGACAACCGTCCCCAAGCCATCTGTGCCCACGCCAACTGTTACTGAAACAACCAGCCCCATACCAAACGTTACCTAGACATTAACATCCACCCCAACCATAGCCCTAACAACTACCCCCATGCCAACCATCCCCGATGCAAGCGTCCCCAGGCCAACTATTCCCAACAAAAATCATTCCAGAGACAAACCTCCCCAAAACAACCATCCCAACACCAACGGTCGCCACGCCAACCATCGCTACAGCAACGGACCCCACAAGAACGGTCGCCAAGACAAAAGTCCCCACGCCAACCATCGCTACAGCAACGGACCCCACAAGAACGGTCGCCAAGACAAAAGTCCCCACGCCAACCATCGCTACAGCAACGGACCCCACAAGAACGGTCGCCAAGACAAAAGTCCCCACGCCAACCATCGCTACAGCAACGGACCCCACAAGAACGGTCGCCAAGACAAAAGTCCCCACGCCAACCATCGCTACAGCAACGGACCCCACAAGAACGGTCGCCAAGACAAAAGTCCCCACGCCAACCATCGCTACAGCAACGGACCCCACAAGAACGGTCGCCAAGACAAAAGTCCCCACGCCAACCATCGCTACAGCAACGGACCCCACAAGAACGGTCGCCAAGACAAAAGTCCCCACGCCAACCATCGCTACAGCAACGGACCCCACAAGAACGGTCGCCAAGACAAAAGTCCCCACGCCAACCATCGCTACAGCAACGGACCCCACAAGAACGGTCGCCAAGACAAAAGTCCCCACGCCAACCATCGCTACAGCAACGGACCCCACAAGAACGGTCGCCAAGACAAAAGTCCCCACGCCAACCATCGCTACAGCAACGGACCCCACAAGAACGGTCGCCAAGACAAAAGTCCCCACGCCAACCATCGCTGAGTCAACGGTCCCCACGCCAACCGTCGCCAAGACAACGGTCGCCATGTCAACCGTCGCCGAGACAAAGGTCGCCATG